ACCGTGTTTTTCCTGTGGAAAGTTACATCTACGAAGCACTTGCCGTTTTCGGGGTGCTAAGTGTCACAAATGAGGTAAAGTTGGACACATTAAGACGGTTTGCAGAAGTTCGAATACTTATGTTGCTCATCATTCTTATAATTCTCCCAATCTGTCTAGCAAAATGGAGTCAATGTGTCTTTCAACCTTCCAAAATACTCAAGCTAATCCAATGAAAACCTCCACTACAAGTTCAGCAACTCAAGTGTCAACTGGTTTCAAAAATGAGGTAGCCGAGTTGTAATGAGAACTGTCGAAAACACGGAAAAAACTGAATGAGATGAGAGAGCAACTGATTAAAATGGAGGAATTGCTGCATATGCATAGACTGCGTCTGTTGAATGCAGAGCATACAAGTACCCGTGAAAGTCCTGCAAAACTATTCAAATCTCGAATTCTCAGGAAGCATCTGATGTCCACGACTTCTAATGTACATTATTACAAAGGGAATGACTATAGACCTTCCGTTGGAATTATACTACAAAAAATGGGAAATCTAGTGGTGAAGATATTAGACATCAAAGATCACTCAGTTCATAACGGACACCTGGACAAAGTGATAACAAATGAAGTAGGTCGTTCCAGTTATAATATTAATTATTCCGTTACTAATCCTGATTTTGTAGATAATTCAGAAATAAGTCCAGATAATACTGATGAAATGATATCACGGAATCAGTTAGAAGGTCGCAGCTACTTGCAAGCAAACCGAGACATGGTTATAAATACGCAAGGAGATATTCGACATGTGGCTGATGTGGTGATTGACAATTTCTATCTCTGTATTGTTGAAATACTTACTGTTGATTATCAATATGTTTCTTATATGAATTGAATATAATTCCGCTAAATACAAATTCCTGAGTTCTGCCCTCTCTGTGTTTTGGTTGGATTCTTGTGATTCGGTCATCTCGAAATACTAATACTACGATTACAAATAATTACAACACCTCGTTGACAATACGAATAACACTAAAATTTGTTCCTAGGTATTTTCATTTTACTTAGAATTTACTACCTCTTACAACCTGCCATCAAAATGTTATCTAATTTAAAATATCGGCTTGACAGTCTACGCTAATGTTTAAGATAGTTGGTGGCTTGAATGAGCCCCAGTTTGAAGTTAACATAAAATATATATATAAATAAACGTTCCTCAACAAACGTTTGTAACAGCCATCCTATTCTATGCTCACACAAGAAACAAAAATATTAGTTATATCCTTACTTCTACTAAATAATTATTGGCTTCTGATCATTTCAAATTTCGTATCGATAGGGTCAGCATGTTCTGATCTCTACTAGCCTATTGGTCACACATTTGTCTGAGGAATGAACATTATTGAATGTGAAGTTGTCCAAGGAACTATACAGCTTACTGAAACCAAGTACACATCAACTAAGCGGCAAATATACTCACGGTAGAGATACCCTGACTTTACTAAAATAAACAAGAAGTTCTAGACTTTCAAGGATATGTGCTATGTCAGGTTAGAAGAGAGAAGCAGTGCACATCTGCTCAGAACTTAACTAAGTAAACGCTCTCTTATAATGAGTTAGAATTCTACTTCTCACTCTGTCGTGTTGGAGACCCTCATGTTGAGACTATCTAATAGACGTAAATGAGGAAACTGTTCCAAAGTGACACGGAAGTACGGCATGCATAACAACGATGAGGCTACTAACCACCACTTTTCTGGTTGACGAAACACGTGAGCTCTTCTGTTGGACAGATACGCTGAATACATTTCTGCAATGTAGTCTGAGTAGACATTCCTCTCAGTCTGTTGGCATCTACTCGTTCGATTGGCTTAATTGTCTCTTAGTATACCAGTGCTCTTACATAGCAGTGAAATTTCACAACTGTCATACAAATTAACTATTCTGTTTCTCAAGTGTTTACGACTCCAATATAACTAACTACTCCACGATGCCAAGCCGTAAACATTCATAGTGTGACTTGTCAGGTTCACTAGACTATCTGGATGGTGTAGTCTGAGTTGTCACAACTTGATCGGCATTTGTACCTCATAAAAGCAACTCACTTATATGAGTCAATTTCACCGTAGTTATTATCAAAGAAACTTGCAAATTGAACTATCCCAATTTTTCTAATGCAAAAATTTGGGGCGCATTTTCAAAGAGACTCTCACAGTTCCATAATAGTCATTCAGTAATACATCAGATGCTAGCAAAGTTAGATGATGATACCTGAAGGTGACAAGCACATTAGATGGCGTGTCGTGAATCACTATGATGTGGCCGTGCTATTCGCTGCTGACAGCTTTCCAAGGCAGTTAAAGCGTTAGGAGAAACACTGGAACCGCACTTGTTAAGGGACTGGTGATTACGGGTCTATAAATAACGCCTCCTCGCTTATCATTTTATCTTTGTTCGTGGTCCGTGAGAGTACTTGCATAATGCAACAGAAACAAGTGACAATAAACATTCAAGCAACACAGTATTTCCAGAAGTGTAACTTTATTACAATGAAGAGGTAGTGTAGACCAAGGGAGACATGTAGATTAATTGGAATTCGTCTGTCGCTGATGGCTTCACATTTTATCTAAGTCATCTACTGTCTTGCATAACTATGATAGTAGAAGGATTATTCTTACTGTGAGACTGGAGGGTTGAAGAAACGGTCGCTTAAAGCCTATAGAACACGTCTTGTTTAAAAGGCTTAGAACTTATGTATTTGTTTCTGTCATAAAATGGCTGGAGTGTTGGGCCGTATGGTTGTTCACGAGAAATAAGTCACTACAGTCAGTCTACTCTCGGTCACTTTTATAAGGTTGTTGTATCAACTCTACAAAAACGTAAGCTAATTACACTATGAGGTTGTGCGCTTTTCCATCCACTGATTTCCAACCAATTTATGTGGCAATGTAAAATGCACTAAAACGATAGTTTTAGACAGAACAGTTCAGTGTGTCATGGGAATTTCTTCTGATAGCTTCTAACTGAGTCGCAGATGTCTACACAGGTGAGAAGAGAGCAGCAATCGAACAGTATATGTCTCTTGTATTCAAGTATCCTGACTAACACACACCAACAGCATGTAGGACAATAAAGTGGAAGACAGAAGACACAAGGTCAAGAAATTTGCTATTAGTCTCTGAATCAAATATGAGATGCAAACGAATCCGAATGCATCTTCGAAATATGCAATAGTGATATATATATATATATATATATATATATATATATACGGCGAGAGAGAGAGTAATCTTTGTTCCTGATAGTTTAATCCTTCAATGCAGACTAAACAATCCTCAGTATATCGTTTGCGTTAGCCAGTTACAATTGTCGCACAATCAATAGTCTCAGTAACTAACTTAATGTTTAGAATAAAGATTTATGGGTACCAAATAAAAGCTCTCAGTTTTACTTGTGCCAATGATAAAGTTATCTCTTCTGTTTAACAACATCAGTACCAAATATGAGTGAAATAAATTAGTAAGCATGAATTCCACTTGTATGCGAAACATAGTAAGCAGTACAACCAGAAAGTAAGCAATGACGGAACAGTAGAAATGAAGCGTTGAAATGTTCGCGACTCGTAGTTGTGGAATAGACTTTCTTTTGAACGCCATTCAACGCATTAAAAGTGTGCCACTGCAATATACTCCTTTTCAAATAATCAAGTCCACCCAATACAAATTAACGTAGGCAATGTCGCTATAGTGAGCCATTTGAAAATCCACCAGCTAATGCTTCTTAGATGTCACAAGGTAAAAAGGAGCCTGTGTGATCCTGAACTTGAAGTTATATTTTCGAAGACAAGAGCAACTGGCCATTTCATCCTATTCCCATGCAGATTTGATGTACCAGTTACATTTCTATACATTGATATTGTTTTGTTTCACTCAGCTATAAGCCTATATTTCCCGACAATATTTCTTCGCATTTATTACAATAGGCGTAAGAAAGTGTGTGTTAACGGTTCAGGTAAAAGTTCTATAGCAGTTTGTCAATCCATTGATCAATTCTGCATAAGACGACGCAGTACCAATAGTTGTATATTTGGGACAGAAATAATGGGGGAACCATTCATCAGTGTGCAGTGATAGATCAGAAAGTATTCCAATCACTTTTCTCGTGAATAAGATTCACTGGATATCACACATTACTTACAGTCCAGCTCACATGGAATGCTGACTGCTGTGATCATCTTGTGAACATAGACACGTCAGAAGAGCATAGCTCACAAGGTCTAAGATATAATTAATAACCTAAGGTTGTCCATTTCGAAGAGATAGCCAGTATCACGACTTGTGGAAGACATGTTTCCTGAGAATCACGGTTGCATCTTCTCAGCGACGTCGAATCGCGGTGTCAACATATTACGGAGAGAAGAATTATCAAATATCGATCAAAAGATTTCTTAAATTATAGTTTAGCTATGTGTATACGTTCGATAACATGCAGTCACAAAGAGTGGTGAGAAACAAACTGAAGAACAACAATAAATGTGGAGGACGAAATACTACACACCAATTGGATGTTGTGACTGCACAAACTGCTGTTCTTGCTTTATTCAAATTCATAAAGGGGAATGAATGTATGCATATTCGATCATACACAGAATTCAAGGAAAGGGACTGCCATAATTTTTTGAATAATTCTTGCTGTCTTCATATACACCTACAAATACAGTTGTATGAAGACATCGAAATTCCCCTAGTGTCCATGCTGGTCAGCATCAGTTCTATCTGATGTAATTCAATATCTCCAACAACCAATAAAATGATTCAGATAATATTGTAGTTTGAAGGTGAAGTGAACTGGCCCCTATGGAACAAGAAGAATATCGCAAAATATGACTTTGACGCACAACAACTAATTGATTGGTCAAAGAGAAAACTACAATTTCAGAAAATTATATAAACGGTTGCATGGACTAACTAGTTGTCCGAAGTCATAGAAGACACTATAATACAATACACCCATCATTCAATATGATTATAGCCTTGTGCATCAGTCTGATTCCGGTCATTTTGACAACCACTGTCCAAGGTAATTCCTTTTTCTCTTTTTCTTCTCTTTCTGTAAAATTAAACACAATCAATTGATGATGTTCCATTCGTCGTGAAAATATTGTACTGATTGGGAGGTTATTTTCAGTGTGCAGAGGTGATGAGGTTCTCCCCACTTGTGTGTCTTGCCTCATTTGCATGCATCACATTGAGTCCGATATGTTTGTTATTCACTCTCTCAGGATGAAAAGGAGTTAGGATTGAGATGGAGAGGTTGTGGTGAGTACGTGTAAGTAAACTAAGTAAGTAGCTAGAGAAGTCATAATTGCTAGATGTAGTTCTCCTGCAGTACGGATGAAGTGTATACCTTCACAAATACAATCTTTGTTTCGAAGCGCACGAAGTAGACTCCCACTATGAAGACTCAGACAGACGGAAGAGGCTTCGAAATGATGCTGGAAATATGCACAATGCTGCATTCGTTTCATGGAGCTGTAAAACGAAACTGTGAGTGAGCTTCGTTGGAGGTGAATAATTCTGCCTTAGAATTACTACACGCACTCATTTGTAGTCGTCTGGTTGAGTACGTAATCCGTCCTACCTACACTTCCAATCATTCTGCCGAAACACGCAATCCTTTTTGAAATTACTACTACTGGCATTAATAGTGATGCAGATCGGAATTGTAAGAGCACTCGTACACTTGACAGGTCTAAATAGCCTCTGTCGGAGAAGCTTCATCGAAATACAATGTTTCATGGTTATTGACAGATTTCAATTGTTTGACGTTGTCAATCAGCATATTGTCAGGATGGTACTTGAAATGTAACTCTCTTCTTTCACTTTCCATTTCATGTCGTCCAATGGATATTCCGGTTGTTCAGCTGATGTAAGTAAGTCAGACGTCACCAGATCATACCTCCGTGACTGTGCCACTGTTGAGGTGGATACGAGCAAGAATCCTAGCCATGAATACAAGCTTATATTGGAGTTGGCCGAATCACCGAATAACAAGGCGACGAGCAACTCAAGCTCCGTGAAATTGTGTAACATCCCTATGTGTCGAGAAGTGAGGCTTCGATTTACAATGTTTAGTAGAGCGACGAGCAATAAAGAATTCCAACAGATCTATACTGAGGATATCCGGAAATCATTGGGTAAGATGTACTGAATAATTTTATTCATTCTCTTCACTGTTTATCATTGAAGCATATTGCACAGACGAGTAGCGAGTTCACTGGGCAAAAGTTTCTATTTTTAGTTTTTGACGTTGTTCATTGTAGACGCTCCGGCAATCACAAACCTGCACACAGCAGCTCCCCATGGCCAAAGTGTCGTCTTACGTTGGACACTTCAAAACTACAACGATTGCAAGGACAAGGAATTGGTGTTCTTCCTATTCGGCGATAAGACAATCATGCAACTAGCTAAGGGAGAAGAGATTAGAATCCCATACTTAACCAACGGCCAGAGGTACAGTGTGTATGCATTTCCAAATTGTGTGGACAAGGAAATACGTGTCTTCACAACTCCGAAATTCGAGCTGCATGCGCGTAAGTCATATACACTGATTTCCTCATGTTATTATGTAGTGTTTTTGACTAGTTGAATCCAGTAAATATGCTGTTTTTCATCACATATAATTATCGTTTGCTTGAAATTTGAGTTATATTTCGTTTTATAACAGTCACTTAATGATATTGCACACATTCGGTGTCAGTCATAGAGTATTCTGGTTCATTTACACTTCACTGAACTACTTAGCCAGTTAAAATTTAGGACATGAGTGGACCAGTCACTCATGTTTACTACCAGAACTATGCATACTATTCAAAAGAGAGACTATTCGCCCAACACATTCATTGAATTAGTGCTTGATGACGTTTGTTTCCACCGTTATTGACTCTAGGTTGTGTGATCAAGTTTAACGAGTCCCGAAATTCTCATGGAAATAAATCAAATCCATATCAATATGACAACCTTAAACTTGGATGGAAACAAGAATTAGTAACAGTTACGTAGTTAGGTGAGAGACGGTCAAAATGTGGTGTACAAGAGGTCAGATGAAAAGATGATGATGTAATAAGGTGAGTGGAACTCAGTAGGTCAGGAAAACTAACTCTTATGGAAGTCAGACGGTCAAAGAGGAGGGAGGAAGAGAGTGAGAACAAAGAGCTACTAGGGAATGAGTCACTGGGGTAACTGAAATCCAACGATAGATTCCTCTTCGACACACAGGTCAGGTGTCAGCCGTTTTATTGAGACCACCTCATCAAACCGAAGAAGACTTGAGCTATTTTGTCTGTCAATTACTTTGGATGATTCCAGCGCGTCTGCTCAGTGTCTTGTGTCTATCGTGTGTTCGGTGATTGGAGAGCTTAAACTGTTTGGCCCCTTTAACCGGAAGCTCTTTGGTACATGTTCGAAGAATCTGACATAAGCACTTCTTTCTGTTCTTCCAGTGTAACTGCTCCCACACATACATGTGAATTGGTATGCACACTGGCAGGTAATATATGGGGGCACTTGTAGATCTCTGACTGAACAAGCGAGGAAGATGTTCAGAGTAGAAAAACTTGTTTTGCTGCAGGGCAGGGCTGTGCTTATCTTTAATTTATGACTCGTATAATATCATCACCTATAAAGTCGAGATCGATGGAAACCAGCTCGCTGTTGGCCGTAGCTGCATCAGGTTTCTGATGTCCACTCTTGCCATATTTGTTAGTAAAGCTTTGTGGGTAATAATAATTGTTCACGATGACGAAACTCGATCGGTGGAAAACCATGAAATTGCGTTTCATGTTTGTTGTTGTACAACTACGACATTCAGATAATAAGAACAACAGGGATTTCATGGTACTGTGTTGGTTTTCGACATAGCTCAAACTGAATACCAGACACAATAAGCAAAGAAATATGGAGTTAAACTATGCCACTTTGATTGAACTTGACACCTATTTGTTCAGATAGTAACGGTCCAAGATTAAGGTTTCTCCCGCACGCCTGTTAATAACTACAGAGGTAATAAAATATACATTTGGGAAACACAACATAACATTACGTCACATAGTTTAGGTGCCACGTAACACATTCCATGGATTAATTATGCTCAACACACTTATGACTACGGAAAATTGTCGGTGACAATCGGGAGACCAGTAGGTGAAAAACGCTTTTCCTTTGCCAGTTAGCACTTGTCTAACCTAGAGGCTGTAGACACCTATCAGTGTAGTTCACCAGTCCACATGGCTGGATAAATGAATGAAGAATTCAAACGTGAAAAAGATGGCTAATTTCACTTCTAACAGAGTGTATGGCACATCGTTCCCACAGGTGGAGTTTCAGTGAATCCGTCGACGACAACAGGCGAATGTAATCCAAGCATTATTGTAAATCCAAAGTAGAGGAGAAAATGGTTTAACATTGTAATTTCGGAGTGATACTCACCGCAAAATTTGCGTTCGAGAAGTTGATAAGACGAGACAACATTGTTCGGTCCAAACCTATTATTTATTCGTGAGTCAAATAATGTGAACTTTACATTGACCAGTCTACTTTAACTTAAATTCAGCGTGTTTGAAAGGCTTCGCCAAATAGCCGACAGTGGAAATCCCTTGTTAATAGTATTTCGTCGTAAGTCCGTTGGTTACATCGACCCTATACTCGCATCAGAAACTCTTGGTTGAATAATCTATGTGATATAGCCCAGGGCAGACCACGTCAGTAGAGATATTTTCACATCATTGTCAATATATATACAATGGATTTGCATTGTTTCAGTCTCCTTACAACTACATATTTTTCTCATGGTCTCCTATGAATTTCGACCACGTCACTGCGTTTACATCCTCCGCCTTCTTTACCTTACACTACTTTTACCATTGTGTAGATTATGTGAGAGACGAAGACCTTGACAACTGGGTGACATCGTAGATTGGCTAGAGGCAATATCTGATTGGCTGACAGAAGGTTTCATGAACTCTGTGCCTTCCGGAATGTAAAGCAATACTCACTGATCATGCAGCCCATCAACTGACTTTCAATTTACTGAGAACATTTCAGAGTTACATTACAGTACAGGGAATATGGTGCTCGGTAGCTCAGCAGTAGGATGTTCGCCAACCATGCATGTGGTCCGAGTTCGATCCACGGCCAGCGAACACCTTTGCCTCACCTAGTCGGTTGTAACCTCGACAAAGAGGGGAGGGTGAACGTGGGGTTAGCAATCCCATCCCTCAAAAACATCACTACTACTGAAACCTCAAAACTGAACTTTGAAGCCCTAAGTTCCACCCGGAACGCAAACGGAATTAAATGAATAAATAAAATTAGAAATATAGATATGATGGGAAAATGTATCTCGCAAATCACATGTTTATATACATATATATATCGTCCCTTCGCTTACTCTGCAGAAGCGCATACAATTTGATCAGTAATTCAAACACTCCCGTTGTGTATTCAGAAGAAGGATAATTCGAACGAACAATTGTTTTCGATAACTTCTTCCTCACGCCTTACAATTGTATATCCATGAATGCAATATTCAGCGAGGGTAAATCAATACTATGTTGGAAGGTGTATTAGAATAAAAGTACAGGATGAAGTAATAGTCTGTTGGCTATGAATAACATTTGAATGAATATGAAATGTACAGCCAGAAGAACAGAAGATCGAATGTGAGTAAACAGTTGGGCGACCTGCTTGTTCCTTTGTGACGAACAAAAATATAAGTCCTGTGGGTTGAGTTATATTCAGTGGTATGAGAGAAATATGAATACTTCAGAAAAATAGACAAACAAGAATGTTATGCTGAGGGTGAGTTTGGAGGATGACAAATAACAAATATATATCACTCCATCATACACTTATACCGTAATACAGTTTCAGATATGAATTTGTTTTGCCTTCACTGACTATCGTATCCTAGCACATTAGATATATAACTGTAGACCATAGAGAAGAATTTATTGAAATACTTGTTCGCTCGAACTAATTTTATCGATATTATACATATATATATATATATATATATATATATATATATTATATATATATTATTCGCCTAACTGTGTTCACCCCGTGTTTCATTTTGTTGAATAGAATATTAAATATCCAAGTGCGAAACGTCTTGATTATTCGTCTGGATAACATACTGATCGTTGGCAATCCATGCAAATCGCTATGCACAAATAATTAATTCGTCTGCGCCACCCCAGTATCACTAGTAATAATTTGTCATTACCCAAAACTAACAACTCATTTCTACTTGATTTTACATGCACTATTATTACATTTGTAATTTCACGTGTTCTCTAAAATACACTTCCGAATATATATTTGTTGCACCAGGTCTTCATCTTCTTCCTCTACTTCTGCTTCCCTTCTACTCTCAGATGTCTTCGTCGAGTGACAGGATGATGCAAAGTGGGGTGGGGGAATCTGTGTGGTAATGTTTGTTATTGTGCAAATGATGAGAGATCAGTTAGTGGTCGTTGTTGTGAAAATCAACAGTTTGAAATCCGAATAGCCAACTGTGAGGGGATGAGTGAGTTAGTCAGCGAGTGTTGTTCAGCGTGTGACTGTGATGATGTTATGTGTGATTTTATGACTTATCGCCAAATAGATTTTTATAATCAGTTGTGAGAATTGATTCTACGTACAACAACGACAACATGGGAAATAAAGTTGACTCGCTCACTAGTAACCATGCAGGTGTTCTTTCTCCAGTGTTGTATACCGGACAACTTAGGATGTGGGCGTCCAATTGCCTGCCTTAATTAGAAAAGAATTTGAAAGTGAAACAATTTGGGTGCTGGACGTTTTCTGTGGAATAATGGGAGATACTTCCTAGACAAAAGCTTTCATTTTGGACTGTTCTCAGTCCACATATGCAAATAAGCCTCATTTACACTGTACTGAAGTAAAAATGTTTGTTCTAGTATTCTTGTGTTCTACCTCATAATCTTGTGGCGAGCTCATGGCATGTTAGACTGGTACTATCTAGGATATGAACTTGTTACTATACCTCGGTGTAATTCTCTTCGAACACTATCAATTACTGCAGGTGATGACTTGTAAGGACTTAGGTCAAGCCTACACATCTGCCTATTCAAAAGGAGTATGTCATTATTATTTCAGTTAAAGCGTGATGTCAAAATGTCCATATGATCACGGGTGTTGACGTCTAATTCAACATGACATTTACACGAGACGAATAAGTAAGCAAGTGGAGCTGTAACAATCGCAGCACTCCTTCACTTACACTGAATTACACCACCAATTACTTTCTTAGGTCTCATTAATAGGTCAGGCCATCATCCTGTCATGATAACGAGTTTATTTTCACTCAAATAGAATCAGAAAAGTATAGTAAGCAGGATGACAGGTATATTCAGTGAAAATCAATAACAATAACAATAATAGTAAAGTGATTATGAACTGCTTTGTTCCAAGCACAGTACTTATAATACAGAATGGAATTCTCAGCATTTGTCTCAATATTGCATCTAACTTACTCAAAATAAAATTAACCACAGGAACTTGTCCACATTTACGGTAGGAGCAAAGTCAAAAATGTGCTAAGCACGAATTGAGAATAATAACAACAATGGGTTTGTTTCAAACAGTATTGTCGGCTCAGTTTGGAAATCTGAGCATGTTATAGAGTATTGAATCCAATGTTCGCTTGGCATAGCATAGTGAGGGGAAAACAAAACATAACAATTATTACAGAGATTAAATGGTGTTTACACTTATGAGAAAATAAACAAAACGATTATAAATATAAGAAGAGTAACAGTAAAGCTTGATGGGATGAGGATGGAGAAAATGCTTTATTTATTAGTGCAAAGAAGTTTAGTCAGTTTCTCCCTGATACTATTTTCATCAAATAAAATACATGCCAAATATGGTATCGTGAAACTTTTATTCTTAGACGTGTGCGCATAAAGTCCTTTGAAATGAGTTATTGTTTTACCTGAGGAGACACAAGGTAAGAGCTGTGGGTAAGCAAAGTTGATGCTCACAGTCTGGCAAAATCTCTAGCAAATTTCTTGCATGAAATCAAGTGCTTATCAATGACGACGTCAACGATATGGCCCAATGGGATACCACTCGCCCTACTGACAGTCTTCACAGTTCTACGAAGTATGACATAGTCTTTTCTAAGCAATGGTTGACCTGTAAAATTTGGGCTATCGATATCACATGCTGAAAATTCCATACTAGTACCAAAAATACTGTGTGGTTTAAAGCCCTAACAAAAATCAAAGAATAAGGGTGAACAGTAAAGAAGAATAGGTAAGATGCACGAGTTGACAAAATATATATAAACTTAAACTAACAGGCTGACATTTGAAAGGATTCACTTTAAGACCATTTACTGACTCACAATAGATAGCTGTTCATCTTAGTACAGTCTTGCTGAGAGTCAAAAGGCATTGAAACAGTTAGGTCATCCTCATAATTAACAAAGTAGATAAGCAAATACTGCAGTTGTTGATCATAAAAATGATGGACATTAGATAACATCACATGATTCAATGGCATATTAGAAATTAATAAAAATTGTTTCTTAGTTCATCTCCAAGCAAACGGTCTATTTGATGATGTCACTGCATTTCAACAGATTAACGAACTAGCTATCAACCCTAAGTTACTACATTTAATTGTACTACAAACCTGGAGTTTAGGAGTAAACAGACTTGCAAATGGCTAAATAAGGAAACTCTGGGGTCTCGAACTGTAAAGAATTATCCAACTGGCTAAGCCCTACTTAGTTTAGTATAGAAACACGTGAAATCCTGTGAATGACTAAAGTAACAGTCTCATAATACTACAGTTAATCTCCATTCCATTAACTAAGCTTAACATGCATTAGTCCGAATTCGCATATTACAAAAGCTCATAATATAGCGATGCACTGAAGAAGTTCAGAAGAAGTAAAAATTAGGAGTACATTAAACATTTCATTAATTTACAAAAGAAAACTGTGATGAAGGATATTAGCTTTAGTTTGAATGACTGATATTTCCGCTGATTTCATATTCGTCAACCTCCATATACCTAAAATATGAAGCATAACACTGATTTTATTAATACTAAGTAAAATTCTTATGCAAATAAAAGTATATGTAGCTGGTCTTTATATTGACGCCGTAGGCATAAATAGACCTCATATGTTTTCTAGTATTAGAGGATTATACTCAAATTTCAAGGCAATCTCTGAAACATCCATACGGTTGAGGCGTCATTTTTTCATCAAGATTACTTGCAGATCAACTTGACACTAAATGTGCTTACATTAAAGGAAGTATTGCAAATGAGCAACTTAGGAATTAATCCACAATCTCAGTAATGTCTAGTCCACAAGGTTTTGTGAATCCTACGGGAATCACATCCTTATATTTAGGAAACTATTGCCATCAAATATAAACTAAACATGCCTAAACTTTAAACAGCTATGCACAGTGTTAATGGCATGGAGAAACACTTAAAATATTGTGAGACACGCGGACCTGTTGTGTTGATGAGGATAACAATGTCATATAATGCAACCGAGACATTCAGTCGTGGTACTGCATCTGGAAAATAGATATAGGCAGTTTTTTATTGGCTGTTGGCTAGCTGGCTTTTTATTGGTCTAAAATATAAATTAAAGCGCCAATCTCTTTATTTTTACACGGAAATGTACAGTCAGTAAAATTTCGGACTTACCTTACCATAATATAATGGCGTGTTAATTTTTTTGGTGTGAGTGTAGTGTGACAGTCACACGCTATTTGGATGCATTGTTGATGTTTAAAGTATATTGATATGTATGAGAATGTCCAGAAAGTGAATATAAATGAACAATAATTTTGATGCATTTATTTTAAGTCCAAAATAGGATGTATGCCATTTTGGTTACTAGGCGAATATAATTCAACTACCATTTCTATAAATTTAATGTGTCCTGAATTATTACATGTATAAATATGTATGTAGTAACTAATCTACTTTTTTAAGTCGTCAATTCAATGACATGTGGGATTTGTGCATACTAGGTCAGCATAAATCAAGTAAATTTCCCTTCAAACGGCTGAGAGCGACAGTTTAAAGCATACCTTGGTTGATTATTTCGTGATGAAAGCAATTTGGAGTCAGTTATAAATTACATCGATCTGTGTCTTATTCATACGTTTTTCAGCTGAGGATTTCCGGTTCATAGCATATCCTGAATAACGGTGATTAATACGATTTATCACTTAGACCGCAGCACCACCAAGCTTAAAACAATTCTAAATTTATTCTAACTTATTCCTCGATAATGCCTTTTTATGGTAACTGAAGAACATATTTACCCACTATGTTCTGAAATGACATAGGTCGTGCTTAAAAAGACAGCTGCGTGCTGAATCAGAACTTTCCGCTAAGGAGAAACGCTAGTCCATGCTTAATATGTCCTGTGAGGGCTGGAACAAAGTTGATAAGCAGACCCAGTAGGTTCGATTTAGTGCCACTCATGCTGAAAAATCAGCGCACAGTTTCACTGTCAAACAATGGCAAAACAGTAAGGGAGTTTAATGTTACTATTACTAGCATAGTCTATGTTACTATGTTAGCATAGTATACGTTGATTAGCTCAATGATTGCAGGTTTACAATAATCTTTGACTACCAACATAATAACTGTGAACTTCAGGCTAAAAATAAGCTAAATAGTAGCACCCAGTGACAAAAACTGACCTACACACTGCAAAATGAGCAAAACATCCAGAAAAACCTTTAAAATTCAATGGAAAACGAATTCACGAAAACATATAACTAGCCGGCGCAGGAACTCATCATGACCTAGAAACTGACTGTAGCCTCTTTCCTGCATCTGTACTGCTTCATGTAAATCGAAATTTCAGGAGTAATTCATCTCCACTATTGGTGATCAAAAATATTGCAGTGTTAAGTATACACTGTCAGTGGGAATGGTACAACAGGTAGTAGATTGATAATAATAGAGCTGACTAGATTCAGTTGTCATAATCAACACAATCCATTTGTGTAATAATACTATACACTGAATTAATACACTAAGTGAAACAGTGAGAAAAACTAAAAAGTAATTGTCTTCTCCA